TGACTTATCTAGATTTTTTTTTTTCCAGTAACAAAATTGTATCTCCTATGAGCCAGATTTACACATCACATTTAGAAGCACTTCATAATGGTTTTGGTTTCATTCTAATGAATGCTCTTTTTTTTTAAGCATCAGTTAAAATATTGTTTTCTGTCTTGTGATGTGTTTGTTGCACTCACTAAAACTGCCTGATGGGATTTGTTTCAGTTGAAATTTTTATTTATTACTGTGTTTTCATCTACACTTAAAATAGAAACTGTTCATGACTTTAAGTGATGTTAAGAGGAGAAATTCTACAAAGGATTAAAGTCTATTTTTGAGAACATATTTCTTTAGGGAATACACTTTATCTTCCGGTGGTACCCTCGAATAGACCATTAAAGGATCAAGCGTGTACACTGCAAGAAATATTTTCTTCTACAGATTTCTTCTGCTTTTTCACACACTAACATGCTTTTGATTATCAAGGGAAACCAACCATTCAAACAAACCTATAACTGTGCGATACAGTAATCACTCCCTTACCCTAATATGCGGTTATGACTCCCTTTGCAGCAATAATTCTTTTACATCGCTGTGGAGGAACATTTGCCCTGACAACTTTGCTGAGTTGTTTACATTTAAGCACATTAGAGTCATTTGAAGCAAAAGCACCTTGTTATTACCAAAGAACAGCATCTCAAATAGGTTTAAAAATATTCTTTAAAAACAGACATCTTTTTAAGTTGTATATGTTATGAAATACCTAGGTTATCTGGTAACTAGGGGGGGGGGGGGGACTGATTGATTGTAACTCAATGTATTTTCAAGACAAGTCAAACCAACCATTGGGTATGCAAATAAACTATTGGCTAGATAGCCTTTGCACAAAAAAATGGTTGCATTTATTCAAATGTGACATTTTCTTATATACATGACAATGACCAAAAAAAACCTAACATACAACATTAACGACCTGTCTGGGGTGAGTGTATAATAACAGCTGATTCACCATTCCAGTGTGCCATCTAAAGCAAGTCACACTCGTCACTTTTTGAAGGTTTTCATGGTACTAGTTGGATGTTTTAGGCTGTTGTAATTCCAATGCTAGTACTAGTTTAAGCTTACTACTTCTAACATAGAACATATTTATGGTACAATACTTCAATGTTCACATTGTGCGTCTGCATACGTTTCCAGAAGGAACTGTTGAAGAATCCACAGGAAGATGCAAGCAAACAGCTATTGTCACCATATGCTTATCCAAAAGGTGTGTGGCCTGCAAAGTCAATGACTTCATGAAATCAGCTGCTTGTTTGTTTGTTTTTTTTAATATAAGACTTTTGGCCACTGAATGTATAATCTGAATTAGATGTGTCTGTAAAGTGCCTTCGGATGATGTGTTGCTATAGTGTATAAAAACTATAAAAAAAAAAATTGAATCAAACTGAATTGAATAAAACTGTTGGGATCTGGAGGTTTGTCCACTTTCTCCACCAGAGGG